CACAGACAGACAGATGGACACATGGGCTCTGGGGCTCCTACACGCAAGGCCCGCGCTTGCAGTCGGCTGTGTCTTCCCTCTCACAGGGGCTGTGGGAAGGAACCCATCAGGACCTCGTCTGGGGCTGCCTTCCTGCGTGGCTCCTCCACAGCCCTCCCCGTGGCTGCCGACCTCACAGGGGGAGGGGGGAGTGTCCTGCTCCTGCGCCACACCCCCCGCCATGGGCCCCTGTCCCGTCGCGAGGTCCGGAGCAGCTCCGGCAGTGACCCAGGGTTCGGGTTCCATCCGCCGTGCCAGCCGCCGGCTGTGTGGCCCACGAGCTGTCCACACTGCTTTCTGGAGACGCTGGTGCTCGGTGCGGCCTCCTTTATCTCTGCTCCATCTTTGCGTTTGCGGTTTGCTCCTGCTCTGGGAGGTGCCTGCTTCTTCAGGATGTTAATTTCATCTGTGCTGATCACGGTGTTTCCGTGTATCTGCGTGTTGGGTTCACCCCATCATTTACGCCTCCGCGGTGTCTCGACTGTTCCCCAGGCCCCCGGGGGTGCTCTCGGTGCAGGCGACAGCGGCCACAGCCGGCAGCAGGGGACACGGAGGCCGCTCCACGGCTGGAGCCGGGCTGCAGCTGCCTGCCCACGTCCTTGCCAAGTGAGGGTAAGAGCCCTCCTGAGATGTGCAGGGGCCGCGGGGCGTCTGGAGCGGGCACTTGTGGACCACGGGCAGGGAGACCGCCTGGGCTGGCAGGTGGGGGCGTGCAGGAGGCTCTCTGCGGGCAGAGGCGGCCTGGGAACAGGTGTTTGTGGTGACAATAGCAGTCGCCATGACAACCGTCACCAGTGCTTCCTGCTGCAGAATCAAGTTGTCTCCAGGGGAACTCTGAGGCTGGGAAGACTGTGATTCCCTCTGGGAGGCAGGGAGGGGCTCAGGGGCCTGGGGGTACTGCTCCCTGCTTCTCGCGTGGGCCTGGAGCAGGGCTGTTTCTCAGGCAGAACCCCCCAAAGCCGCTGCCTGGCCCTGAGCAGGCTGGGAGGGCTGCCTGGTGCTGCCCAGTGAAGGCAAGGCCTTGAGAGGGGGCTGGGGGTGCGGGGCCCCCATACACTGAGCGTGTGGTGCCAAGGACGGTGCCTCGCAGGAGAGGTGCTGGTAGGCAGTACGGGAAGACGAGGAGGGCAGCGCCGTGTCAGGGAGCCTGCTCAGCTCCAGTCCCAGCTCGCCTCTGCGGGTGCTGCGGGGGGCAGACGTGTGCCCGTGGGAGCCTCAGCCCTTCCCGTTGCTGGGCCACGGCTCCTGAGTGCGTGTGGGATGCGGGCCGCGAGGGAGCAGGGGGGCTGGGGAGGAGATGGCCAGTGCCACCTGAGACACATCCATCAGGCTGGCTGCAGGCGGGGTGGCCACGCTCAGAGCCAGGTCCCTGCCCTCCATGCACACCCCAGGGTTCCGCTGCAGGGATGGGAGGGCACGGGGCAGTGAGGAGACAGGTGTCCAGGGAGGGGATCCTGGGGAGGGGGTGACCCGGGCACCCTCAGTCTGGGGGAGGATCTCTGAGCACCACAGGGGGGCCAGATCCGCAGCCCCACGGGGCTACTCGGTCGTTGGCGGTGAGCGGCAGCTTTTACACCCTCCTCCCACCTCCGTGTGTATCCGGCGTTCACATCCCCAGAGCACTGCTCCTGTCTTGGAAACACCCCTCTCCTGCTGCCAGCTCCACGGGCACACTGTCCCCGCCTCGCCCGGCTTTCCAAGCCCCTGGATCCTCCCTTTGCTTCCAGCGTTAGGGAGCCCCCTCCTGCAAAGTGTGAAACAGCAGCGAAGCTGGCAGGGCGCCAGGGCACCAGGCTGCGGGCGGCGAGCAGCCTGCTGGCCCCACTTGGGGGGCACCCGGGTCCCTGTCCACGGATCTGCAGAGGGAGGGGTGCGCCCTGTCTGCCCAGGTTCCAGGTTCCTCTTCCGCACCAGGCTGCCCAGCTTCATAAACCTCAGACTGAGCCCTAAGAGGTTATAAGCTGCAGGTTTTAAAATGTCAAATCCAATCCTGGAGGACACAGAGGTACAAGATGAACAGCTCGCCAGCTGGGTTGGGCCGAGCCTGGCGCGGTGATCATGGTCTCTTTCCACAGCACGTGGAGCCAGGGGCCAGCGCCGCTCCTCCACGTGGCACCCGGGGCTGCTGGGGCAGCTGCCTCCCTGCGGCCGTTCCCTACCTTCAAGGGCAGGTCGGAGCCGCTCAGCTGCACACCGCCACCCCCAAGATGAACCCCAAGCGGACACTTGAATTGATCTGAACAACCCTGCCGCCGATGCCTCAGTTTTGGGGTGACCACACCGCCGCCCCGGAACGCGCTTCCGGTGGGTTTGATTTCCCATGGCTCCGAAGCAGATTGGAGCGGGCTCTCCATGACCAGAAGCAGATGCCGTGGAGAGATCTGGGAGCAAACGGGGTAGAGCCTGCGAGGCCGACGCTGCGGGAGCCCCAGCTGAACTGAGACGTCCACCTCCCCCTGGTCCTGCGCACCTCAGGGCCTCGTGGTTGCAAACACGAGTTACCGAGGAGACGTGCGCGGCTCTTTTTGAACTCTGAAGACTTTGTGTGTTTGGTTTGGCTAAGGACATAATCAAGTAGAAATTTTGCAACAAATATGACGATGCTTCCTTCCCCCTGGGCACGTGAGCTTCTGCCGTGCGTGTGCCGTGTTGGAATTGCCGTCTGCCCGCTGCTCTGAGTCTCCCGCGTTTTAGCCCACCCTGGGCAGTTTTCCCCGCCATCAGCAAGGGCTCTCCGGTCTCACGTAAGCAGCAGCTCAGGACTTCCCTGAACCCCGCGCCTTTCCTTGCCAAGTGCTTCTTCCAGGGCGTTGCTGGCTGCGTCCGGAGGGGAACTGGGCGGCTCTTGTCTGTCACAGAATAAACACATGGTGCCTAGTAGGTGGGTGACAAGTGCTTATTGGCCACATGGATGGGATTCACTGTCTGCCACTGGCAGGAACTATAAGGGACCACGCAATAGGCTATGTTGTCTGGAAACCTGGGTGTGATTTTGCTGTTATTGTAGGGAAAATTCATTGGCACAGTGTTCCAAGGCCAAAAGAATAGGGGCATTTACAAAGCCTTTGATAAGAGCGCTCACCCAGAAACGCTGGACACACTGATGTCCTGATTCGGGATGTGGGCATCCCCAGTGGTGGCCTAAGCCACTGCACGGCAGCACCTGCCCCTCACATCTGTTCTCATCTCCCCTCGAGTCACGGACAAATATTGCACAACTTTTAATGTGAATTATAATTCCCACGATTGGACCGGGCTCACGTTTTTATTGGGCGCTTTTGCTTCACTTGGCTGTTCCTTCCCTTCGTCCATGATATTATTTTCTAACTTTGAGTTTCAAGGCTGTTGGTCTGTCCCACGTGGCAGATACTTCTCATTTGCTACTTAATTTTACGATGACTTTGATGCACAGAGCCATTACATCTGTAGACTGCCGAGCGCGCCCTGCCTATGGCTCCTGGCATTTGATGTGCAGACACCGGTCTGACTCCTCGAAGCCCAGCTCTGGGAGCAGGGGCTCTCCTGGAACCAGGAGCTCCTCTAAGACTTTGGATCCCGAGCACCTGCTGGTGAGCCAAGCGGGCGGCGTGCGTCTCTCGCGGAGCCCTGGGAGGCAGAGGAGACAGAGAGCGTAGGGCGCTGGGTGCCTGTGGGGGCCGAGCCTCAGGGCCACGCACAGTGAGCGTGGAGAGGAAGTGACCGTGAGCGCGAGGAGAAGCCGCGGCCACGCGCACTCTCAGTCTGCCTCGATCCCGCACTCCTGATGTTTCGCCATCTGCCCACGTGTCTTCCCTCCCTTGAAATAAGTCAGGGGCTGGAATTAATTTTGTGCTACATTTGCCTTGTCTCTTCATTTATTCCATATGTTCATTACGTCCCGTGTGCAGCCAGTCCTGCCCACCGCGCTCAGCTCTCATCACGACGCTGCGGCTTTTACTCCCGTACCTTGCTCTACAAAATATGCTTTATTGCCCTTATTAATCCCTCTGCTGATATCACCTCAAACGCTACTATTTTTCAAGAAAATCAGAGCATTATTAAAAGCCTCATGACTCTACACAGGCGGAATAAAAAGAGATAATTTCCAATGGGCCATGTCGCCAACAGATTTATATCGTAGCCATGGCGCACTCTGACAAAGCCTGGGTAGCTTCAGAATATGAACTTGAATTTGACTCTGTAGGAGTGGAAGCATTGGAGGGGACACAGACCTCGCTGGGAGGAGACTCCCACCTCTGGCCCCGGGATGTGGCAGGCTGGGTCACCCCGGGGACTTGGGCGGCAGACTCCACGTGGACAACAGGGGAGCTGGCCTGTGGATGCTCCGAGCTGCTGGCGGCCCCCGGCCCTCAGGTTCCCAGGTGACCTACTCCTCGCCCACCCCGTCCAGGTGTTCCAGGAGCCTTCAGTATCTTGTGTGCGACCGGAAGAAGAGGGCGGTGGGAGGGAGGTGGGTGAGAAGTGTGTGTGCAGCCAGGCTGTGGGGTTCCGCTCCAGGGGTGCAGGCCTGGGTTCCTGATTCTGTGCCAGAGGAGTGGGTGCCGTCAGCACAGGCAGGAGAGGAAAGGAACCAGGGGACGCACGACCTAACGACTCCCCAAAGTCTCAGGTATGAAGGAGTGTCACTGAGGCCCGCGCTGCACTTCCTCCCTAAGTGGTTTCGGGAATGAGCGCTCCGGGCCAGACCTGCTTAATGACTTCCTGGAGCAGCACTGGTGGAGGCCATAGCTTGCCGACTTCACCAGAGTGTGGACGCTGGCTGGGCCCTTCTTCTGCAGGGAGACATGTGGAGGTCAGGCGTCCCCCTGCAGCGGACAGAGGCTGAGACCCACACTCAGGGGCGGATCCCGGGCTGAGCAGGTGCTCTGGGGAGGCAGAGGCAGACCAGTGGGCGTCTCCCAAGGCTGCAGTGAGATGCGGGGGCGGGGGGGGGGGGGGCGGGTCCTGGATGCTCGGCTCACAGCACTACAGGCCGGAAGTCCAACCCCCGTGCTGGCTCCTGAGGGCTCTTCTGCACCGAAGCCTGGCAAGAACCCCTCCCAGGGGAGGGCCATGGTGAGGAGGGGGAGGGTGTGGGGGAGGGGAGGGCCATGGTGAGGAGGGGGAGGTGTGGGGGGGAGGGGAGGGCCATGGCGAGGAGGGTGTGGGGGAGGGGAGGGCCATGGTGAGGAGGGGGAGGGTGTGGGGGGAGCTCAGGGCCAGGGTGAAGAGGGTGTGGGGAGGAGGGGAGGGCCATGGTGAGGAGGGGGAGGGTGTGGGGGAGGGGAGGGCCATGGTGAGGAGGGTGTGGGGGAGGGGAGGGCCATGGTGAGGAGGGGGAGGTGTGGGGGGGAGGGGAGGGCCATGGTGAGGAGGATGTGGGGGAGGGGAGGGCCATGGTGAGGAGGGGGAGGGTGTGGGGGGAGTGAAGGGCCAGGGTGAAGAGGGTGTGGGGAGGAGGGGAGGGCCATGGTGAAGAGGGGGAGGGTGGGGGGAAGGGGAGGGCCAGGGGGACGAGGGGGTGGGTGCAGGAAGCAGGTCTTCCTCTTCTCTAACAACTCAGAAATCTGAGGGGGGGTCCCATGGGGTCTTCCTTAATCTCTTCCACACCAGAGGCGTGAGGGTCTAATTGGCTGCCTTAGGCCCCGCCTCTTAAAGGGCCCAGCACCTCCTGCCTGGCCGCTGGGAGAACAAGGCCCTCCCGCAGGAACTCTGGGCTTCCACCCAGGATGCACCTTGTTCTCCTGGGGCGGGGGCCTGGGTCTCCTCAGCAGAAGCTGGTGGTGGGAGCAGGGTCCCCACGGTGCGGAGGGCCTGGGGACCCTGCTCCCAGCAGAGCAGCCCCCCGCGGACCCTGAGCGTGGGTCTGGAGCTGCAGGGGGCCGAGGGCTGGGCTTCCGGGCCCCAGAGCAGGAGAGGCTCAGGGCGGCTCTGGCTGTGCGGTCAGGTCACCTGTGCTGGGGGCCCTGACTCAGCCCCTGTGAGCTGAGCCAGGCCTTCTGTGAACTCTGGGTTGGAAGCGGCTGCGCCTTGGAGCTGCTGTGAGCAGAGGCCACCTGGTGCCCTCCTCCGCTGCTGGCCTCTGTCCCCTGTGAAGCGCAGGGCTGGGCGCCCGCCAGGACAGCCCACGGTCTGTGTCCCAGGAAGCGGAGGCCTGCAGACTCCAGCCGCAGGGCCGCCCCGTCCCTGCCCGGTCCCTCTGTCCACGGTGCCAGCAGCGGCTGTGGCGGGGAGGACGTCTTGCCCTACAGGGTCAGCCCAGGGTCAAGGCTGCAGGCCCAGCATGTCTGGCGCTGTCTGTGCGTGCACGGGAAAGGAGGGCAGGGTGTGCACGGGGGCGCTGTGCACACACACCTGGGCAGGGGCCTCCGCCCAGGCCCCGCCCCTCCCTCTTCCCCACCTTTGCTTCCCTCTCCTCAGCCCCGGCTTCTGTTCTGCCTTCAGCGCCTCCGGGGGGGGGGGGGGGCTGGAATGCTCCTAGGAGGGGAGGGGGTGGCGGCACGGCGCTCTGGAAAGCTGGGCAGGGACAGAAGCCCTCCCTGCCCTGCCCCGCCCCACCCCAGGGCCCCTGGCTCCCCCCGTGGGACCTCCTCCTGCTCTCCCGGCTGCCCTGGAGGGAACTGCTTCTTCCCTGGCTGGGAGCCTCCGTGGGCCCCTTTGCTCCCTGGAAGGTCCCTAAGGCCTCGCAGGTGGCAGGTCAGGTCCCTGTGCCCAGCCACACACCTGGACACACTGCTCAGAGACGCGCGCACACCCCCACAGGCACACAGGCGTGTACCCGGGCACTCGCACATGCGATGCTCATATACATGCAAAGGCGCATCTTGCACTCACAGGTACACACGCAACATAAACACGTGAGCACATGGCACATGGGTGTACATACATGTGGGCGCAGCATACGTGGCTGCACAGCAGACACACACGTGCACGCAGAGCACGTGCACCTGCCTCCCTGTCACGCCCACTCTGAGCTCCCTTGTCAACTCCTCCCCTGGACACTGGAGGACCTCTCTCCCAGCCCTGCGCCTCGAGCGTCCTCCCAGCCGCCTGTCCTGCCCCGCGGGCCAGGCTCCCTCTGTCTGTCCGCCAGCTTCGTCTCCCAGCACCCAGGCATCCTCCCCCAGGCACCTGCCGCCACATTCCTCGGCATTCTGCAGGGCTCTCGGTTCCCACGGGGGCCTGGTGCGTGAAGCCAGACCCAGCAGCTGACTCCCGGGGATCCCACAGAGCCGGGCAGGAACCCGTGCGTCGCTGGTGCCTTCCAGAGCCCGGGGACAGCAGCTTGGTTGAGGCCACGGCCTGAGGGACTCGCTACAGTGGCCGGGGGCATTGGAGGAGGACTGCGGAGGAGCGTGGACAGAGAGCAGGGCTGCTCCTGCCTCAGCGCCACAGGGAAGCCGCGACACGGCCCCTCCCCGACGGCAGCAGCCAGGCGCCCCGGAGGGTTCAGCGTCTTCGGGACACGACTCGGGGCTCTGCACCCACAGGTGCTGGAGTCCTTTCTTGGGCGACACAGCTCAGATGGGGGCCTCGCCTTTCCCAGAGCGGAGGGGCCGCAGGGCAAAGCGGCAGAGTGGGCGGAGCAGAGTGCGTGGGTGTGCACCTGTCTCCCTGGGAGGAGGGAGGCAGCGCCCGGAGCTGGGCACTGAGAGGCTAAGACGTTGCCTGTTCTCCCTGTTCCAGCCTGGTGACTGCTGAATTCCGCAACGCAGGGGGAAGAAGAGCTTCCCAGAGGCTGCAGCCGCCCGCGCTCTGGGCATCCGTCAGTCATCGCTCATCTACCGAATGCCCGCGTTTCTTCACAGCCGCCTGTGGGTGCTGACTCTGCGTGGGGCTGCACTGAGGGCACCAAGCTGCCTTTGGACTTTCCTTTCTCCCTGTGGGAGCGCCAGGGGTCCCACCAACCCCTCCCCATAATCTTCTCAATTGTAAAAATTCTAGCTCTCAGCGGGGCACCTGCTGTTTAAAGCAAGATTGCATCTCTGCTGTCTTTGTAGCTCAGGGGACCGTGGGAGCAAACTTTGAACAAGCAGGCAGAGGTAAACATCCCAGTTCACCTTGCAGCAGGTGCCTTCTGCATCTGTGTCTCTGGCTGGAATGCAGCTATGATGGTGGGAGCTCAAGCAGCTCTCTTGGAGTGTGAGTTTCTAGTCAACTGTAGGGGAAGGCAGAGCAAGAAGCTGAGGGGAACAGTCCCGGCATTTGTGCAGCCGCCAGACCTGCACTTAGGCGCTTGTCCCTGAATCACCTGTCTGAGATAAAAATAAACTCCCGTCTAGCTCGGCCTAGGTTGTTCTTGGCGCTCTGTTCTTCACCCGGGGACATGCTGCCAGGTGCAGAGGTGGGGCAGAAAGTAGCCGTCTGAACCACCAGGCATGGTTCTAGAACCTGGGACGTGATGAAACTGAGCTCTAGAACCTGGGACGTGATGAAACTGAGCCACCGTGAGGATAGCAACGGGGTGGCCAGGAGATGGGGCCGGGAGGCCCAGGGAGCTGAGATCTGGCCAAGGAGGAGGCGCTGGCCAGGACAGGCTTCCTGGCTGGGTCTCTGGTGACAGAGAGGGGACTCGGAGCACGATGGCGCCCTGGCCGGTCCGAGGCCCGGTGGAAGGCGCCTGTGAGCCTGGGGCGCACAGTGGTGCAGGGGGGCGGAGCCCAAGTCCTGGAGCCTCTGTCTGGAGCTTCCCTGAGGAAGTGAGAGAGGGGAGCAGCTGCCCCACAATCCCCAGTACGAAGCAGCCAGCAAGTAAACGCTGGGTTCCCAGCAGCCCTGGAAACGCGGCTCTTGACCCACAGTGTCCCGGGAGAGGGAGGCCCCAGAGTTCATGCACTGAGCCGGCTGCAAGCCCCCAGGCAGCCGGTGAAGCCCACCCTCCGGGGAGGCCCCCGCCTCAGGGCCCTGAGATGCCCACAGTGGCAGGGGCTTCCAGGGTGTGCCCACATGAGGAAGAGGTCAGGCCTGACCCTGGGGTCCCTCCCAGGGACGGGAAGGGCATGGCCAGTCCCTCACAAACCCCACAGCGTCCGGGTGGGGGTGGCTGCAGCCGGGGACAGCTGGGGCTGGGCGACCAGACCGTTGTCCACACGCCGGCTCCCGGCGCGGCCCCTGGCAGCTGTGCGGGGCGAGCGAGCTGAGGTGGTGCGCGGGGCCGGCGTGGGCACAGGGCAGAGGATGTATCGCCCTCCACGGTCCGCGGGAAGATGTGCGCCAGGCTGTGCGCGCTTCCCAGCACCGCTTCCTAACCCGAGCGCCAGGAAAGGCGCCAAAAACTGGCTCCTGCCCAGTCCCTGCAACACCTGCACCCCTTGGGCGGCTCAGCAGGCGGCCTCTGTCCGCCCCTGCTGCCCGCCGGGCTTCAGCCATGCAGGAACTGGGAGGAGGGCGCGTGCAGGGGTGAGGCCGGCCCTGCAACCACGCAGGAAAGCCTTGGGCTCAGCCTCCTCGCTGAGGCCCTGCTTCCCCGGCCTCACGCGGGAAAGGCACACACTGCCCTCCTGGGTCTCTGCCTCCCGTCTCTCTCTTTTGTAAAGAAGCAGAGAGAGATCTTCCATTCACTAGTTCACTCCCCAAATGCTTGCCACAGCTGGGGCTGGGCCGGCCCAAAACCAGGACCCTGGGACTCCACGTGGGTCTCCCATGTGGGAGGCAGGGACCCGAGTACTGGGGCCGTCTCCTGCTGCTGGCCCTGGAGCATTAGCAGGGAGCTGGATGGAAAGCTTGGGGGCCCGCGCCAGACCTGGCCCGCCGATCCGGGAGTAGGCGATCCATCTAGCAGCAGCTACCCTGCTGTGCCACAGCGGCCACCCCAGCGCCTTGATGGAAACACGTTTCCCACAAGCCGTCTCCCCCGGCATGGGTTTGCACATTGTCTGGGCAGCCAGCTTCTTCCTGGACGCCATCGTTTGCCCAACGTCAAGGCACGAGACGGTGATTTAACTCCTATGTGACACTGATTCGCTTTAAAAGTGCAAGCTCGCTGGTGTGTGCTCTGGGCTCGTGGGCTGTGCAGGTTGCCTGTCCCTGTGGGATGACCAAGGAGAGTGCACCTGC